CCCCATTTATTCCCTCATCCAAATCATTGATGAAGATGTTGAAGAGTACTGGGCCCAAAACAGAGCCTTCGGGTACTCCACTGATTGATGGAGGTGATCATTCTAGAGCAGGGATGTCAAACTCAAGGCCCAGGACATGCACACATGATCCACCCACCCCATGCGGCCTACTCGGCCTCCTGCATCATGGGGGAAGGGCAGCATTTTCGCCCTCTCCAGGCTCCGGAGGCTTTCTTTGAGCCTCTGGGAGGGCGAAAGCAGCCCTGCAAAGGCCGGAAACAGACCCATTTTCAGACTTCTGGTACTTCCTGGACGTTTGTTTTTCGCCCTCCCCAGGCTTTCTTTGAGCCTCTGGGAGGACGAAAATGGCCTTTCCCGGACTCCAGAGGCCCTCCCTGAATCCCTGAAGCCTCCAGGCATCAAAAACAGAGTGTGGGGGGCACACCGCACCCCCTCTATGCTCCCTCCACCCCGTGCATGCACATGCCCTTCCCACACGCGCAGCACAGACCCGAACATCAGCTGGCCAGCAGGAGGTGCACGCACATGCAGGGTGGAGCTGAGCAACAACTTGTGTGCCCGCAGAGAGGGCTCCGCGTGCCATCTGTGGCACAGGTGCCATAGATTCGCCATCACGGGTCTGGCTGATTGCAGATTTTTTTTTCCTCCCTAGGGCCCAGAGACAAGACTGGATTTCGTGGCTAACAAGCCACTGAAACCTCGAGGCAGGAATTCCCAGGAGCCTCGATCCGACTCCCTACCTCCGCTAGGCCTGGCTGCGTCTAACAACCAAAGGAGACGTCTCGCTTCGGAACTACCCACAGGCGGCTTCCAAGCCTGGAAATGGGGTAACCGTGAGTCCGAAGAGGCTTCAGGTAAAGCGGAGGCCTTGATGACCTCTTCAAAAGAGTTGGGCGCATATCAGGGATTTCCATGACCCTCAAACCCACAGAGAAACTAAATGGAAACTGTCCGAGTGTTTGCACAGCGGTGACTACTATTTTGAGACAGCCCCAGAGCAAAATACAGGACACAGAGGTTTGTCTTACAAACAGTGGTTTATATACAAAGACTTCTATATACAAGGCATACAGGACATATATACATACCGTATTTTTCGGAGTATAAGACGCACCTTTTCCCCCCAAAAAAGAGGGTGAAAATCTGGCTGCATCTTATACACTGAATACAGCATTTTTAGCCTACCGAAACCCCGCTCCCTTTGCAAAAATGGACATTCAGAGGTTTTGGGAGGCTTGTAAAGTGCTCCTGGGGGCTGGGGAGGGCAAAAACAAGCAAAGAACGGGCCAATTTTGTTAGTTTTTGTCCCCCCCCCAGCCCCCAGGAGCACTCCACAAGCCTCCCAAAGCCTCTGCATGCCCTTTTATTTTTTTGCAAAAACAGGCCCATTTTTGCATAAAATGGGCTGTTTTTTGCTCATTTGGGGGGGGGGCACCTCCCAGGAGCACTCTACAAGCCTCCCAAATCTCTGCATGCCCTTTTTTGTGCAAAAAAAAAAAATGAGGCATGCAGAGGATTTGGGAGGCCTGCAGAGTACAAAACCTTTTTTAAAAAATTTGCCTCTTCAAAATCATGGTGCATATTATACTCTGGTGCATTTTATAGTCCAAAAAGTATCATACATACATACATACATACATACATACATACATACATACATACACACACCTTCTAGGCACAGTTAGACAAGCAAGCAATCTCCAACTCTACATGGAGAACTACTATGAAGATAATACATGAGGAGAGAGATACACAAGGAGAGAGATATGCCCCTCATGGCCTCCTTTATATAGACAGCTTCTTAAAGTTTCTTAAAGGGGCAATAACCCAGCTTCTTAAAGCAGCAATACCTCCACCGACTCATCCTCATTTCATCAGATTAAGTTACAGCCTTACATTGGCTGGTCAGCTTTAAATCATCATTACCCTGACAGAAACAAGGGGATCTTGTTCCGTGGAGATGCAATTATTCTGAGAGTGGACAACACAGAAGCAGGCTGAATGGGCCGAGGCGTTTTGGCCGCTGAGCTGGGCAGGCAAGCAATGCTGCTTTGTTAAATACCGAACATTTTACTAAATAAAATGGTTAAAATAAAATGGTTAAAAATTGCCACAATAAGATTGCATTTATTTTTATAGTTAGTAACGTGGTTGTAGCATGCTTTGGTCTCATAGATCCAGAAAAGGAGATTTTTAAAGAGTGTAACAAATGAGCCACAAATGCAGAATAACAGAGTTGGAAGGGACCTTAGAGGTCTTCTAGTCCAACCCCTGCTCAGAAGTAGGAGACCCTATAAAATTCTGGACAAATGGTTGTCTAGTCTCTTCTTAACAACCTCCAGTGATGAGGCACCCACAACTTCTGGAGGGAGGCCGTTCCACTGGTAAATTGTCCTCTCTGTCAGGTAATTTCTCCTTAGTTCTGGGTTGCTTCTTTCTTTGATAAGCCAGATTAACAGAGTTGGAAGGGACCTTAGAGGTCTTCTAGTCCACCCCTCCCCCCCCCCCCGCTCAAGCAGGAGACCTACACCATTGCTGACAAATGGCAGTCCAATCTCTTCTTGAAAGCCTCCAGGGATGAAGCTCCCACAACTTCTGAAGGCAACTTCTGTTCCTTCGGTTGATTGTTCTCACTGTCGGGAAATTCCTCCTTGTTTCCAGGTTGAATCTCTGCTTGGTCAGTTTCCATCTATTATTCCTTGTCTGGCCTTCGGTTGCTTTGGAGAATAACTTGACCCCCTTCCTCTCTGTGGCAGCCCCTCAGATATTGGAAGCCTGTTATCATGCCTCCCCTAGTCCTTCTCTTCACTAGACTAGCCAGGCCCAGTTTCTGTAACCATCGTTCATCGTCTGTTTTAGCCTCCAGTCCCCTCATCATCTTGGTTGCTCTTCTCTGCACTCTTTCTAGAGTCTCCACATCTTTTTTATAGTGTGGTGACCAAAACTGGATGCAGTACTCTAGGTGTGGTCTTACTAAGGCTTTATAGAGTGGTGTTAGGACCTCCCTTGATCTTG